AAATACTGCAGAATTCTCAGGAGCTGGAGCTGTAGTAGGACGCTGGGATCTGAAGAGATGTTACCCAGATAGAAACTGCCCAGTGGCTGAGGCAGTTTCCAGAAGCCCTCCCCTTCCATCTCAACACAGAGGGCAGCACTCTAATGCTTGCCGTGGAAACAGGTTAAGAACAATGACTGATCTGCTTGGATTTGAATCGGGTCTAGTTGCAGACCAAGACTTAGTCAGGGACTCACCTTCCAGAGAGCCTGAGAAGGAGCTAATGGTTCCTCATCTGCCACCAAAGGAGTTCTCATTTCTAAGGGCAGAAAAGAAATCTGCTTACTTATGAAAAGGACTCTGGGTCACTTTTGGATCCAAACCTAAGAAGTTTATTTAGCTCCATATCACTGTAAAAAAAAAAAAAAGGCTGAAGAAAAAAACTGAAATAAACAAAGCAATGGGAAGGTCTTGGCCATGTTGGCAAACTCACTATTGAGGCCGTGATGTAGAGCAGGGCACCGGATTGTAGCTTGGGGGTCCAGACCCAACAGGGTGGTATAATCAGACTTTTGGCCTTGAATGTGGCACTTGACCTCTCAACAGGGCTATCTCCCACATAGGGGTAACACTGTCAGGCATGCACTCTACGCACTCTACACACGTTACCATTTAAGCCAAGCAGGTTTGATCATATCTCTCTGTCCATGCAACTTGCCAAAGAGTCCAGAAGAGAGCTGCAAAGATGAGTTAAACTTCTAAACGATTTCTTCAGAAAGGGTAAGGGATCTGAGGGATCAACCTGAAGAAGAGAGATTTAATAACTGTCTTCAAATCCGTGGGGGGCTTTTACCCAGGAGCCGGTGAGAGTGTGGGGCCCACATGTTCTCAGTCTGCACTGAGCAGAGAGGGCACACCCAGGCTCCAACAAAGAGGAGTTTCTGGCATTCAGGGCCAGAGATACAAACAGGATAGAGAACATCCTTCTAGGAAATAGTTCACTGGGGGAAGGGTGGGGAAGAAAGAGAAAGACAGAAAATGGGGCCAAACTATGGCAAGGTCTGAGCTCTGCAGAAAGCAATCTCTTAGCCCCAGCCAGATATAGACACTACTCTATAAATTGCCTCTTTGTCACCTCTGTTCTTTTTGATATGCCCCAGAGTCAGAAACCTGCCTTCAAACTGCTTCCCTGAAGACCCTTCCTGCTGTTCCTTCACGGGTTTTGCCCACCTCCCTGCCCTCAGGTCTCCAGGGCCTTAGGACATTTCCTGAGCGTCACCTCTCTTCAAGGGCACTATTCCCATAGCAATCTGACCATAGTCCCTGCCACAGCTAGAATTACTCTCCTTCGCCAGTGAGGAATCTGAAGCTCCAAACTAGTAAGCACTAGAGCCAGAGTTTAAGGCCAGGACTGATGGACTCCTGGAAGTGTGCTCTTCCTACCCCGTCCGCTGGGGGTCCAGGGGGGAGAGACTGACTGGTGTCCGCAGCATGCAGCTGCAGAAAGAAGGGGACGGCGTGGATCCTGCTCCCTGCTCTTCATCCCCTGCTTCCGCAACGTGCAATCACTCCGAACCCTGATTATACTGCATTGTGTTGTTTCTATTACAGAAAGCCTTCAAATTATTTTGTATCTTCTGCGTTTTATTCGAGAAACAGTTTGGCAATGCACACATATCAGTGAGACTCACTTCTAGTTCTTTCTGTTGTTGTGTAGACTCTGAAGGCCTCTCCTGGGTGCCCACTGTATCTGGACGGGAGGCAGGGAAAGAAGAACTTAGAAATCCCGAGTCAGACCCTGCCGGCCCCTCCTCTGGGGGTCTGCAAATAACGGTGCATTGTCATAGTATTATGAAGAATCGGAATAATGTACAAATTGCATCACAACAAAGGTAGAAAGGCTAACTAACGTGCACAGCAGGAGACAATACTTGGCACACTTGAGAATGACATTGCTATTTATGCATCTGTCACCTGGGCTAATTATGCTCTGATTTAAGTATTTGAGTATCTGTGAGCCTGTAGTGCCACGTTTACCAGAAAACCATGCGACTATTACTTATGATAAAAGCAAACACTGAGAGGCACCCAAGACTGGAGGATCACACATGAGTATTCTAGAAGGTTCGCTACTTGGGATAATGGAGGTAAAGTGCCTGGCGTGGTACCTGACCCAAAGAGCCTGTTTCTTTCAACCCTTCTACCTGCGAAAGATATTAGGCAGTCCTCAGCTTCCAGCTCTGATGGCTACTCAAATGAGACCCCAGAGCGAAACTGCATGACCGGAAATGGCCTTAACTGTCATCGCGTATGACCCCTTACATCTGGGGTTAGGTTGCCTGGTTTAGCTAAAGCACACACCAGTCAAATCCCATTATGGTGAGCTGCACAGGACATGCAAGCAGTGGAATTTTATTAGACAGCTAGAAATCACATTAGCTCCAGCTGGAGCAGACACAAACGTCCAGGCGTTCTACAGTGTGTGAGCCAGAAAAAGCAACCTTTGGCACATCCTGGAATCTGAGCCGCAGCCACACAGCCTCAACCCAACCTTCCCCTGGGCTCTCTGCTGTTTGCCCATGTTGTAAAGTGTATGTGATCGCTTTTGAACACAGGTAGTTTCCTCCACGGATGGGACGGAAGCATCTGAGACAGGCGAGCGGAAGGGATGCCGGACGGCAGAATAATAGAGTGAACTTGTCACCCCTGCTTCATTCCACTCTCTGTGCACCCTTCTGCAGGCACACAGTGAGGTATTTTCACTAAAGAAAGGGATAAGATAAGATAAGATAAGAATCTACGTACGTCCGAGGTCTAGCTGGTAGCTGGGACAACCGTGTTTTGCACTGGACTCTACTCGTGCAGTCTAAGTAACACGTGTCATGGCTACCCATCCTCTGCTCCTCTCCTCGCCCTCCCACCCCCTCCCCAAACCGCTGGAGCAGCAGCCCTCAAAGTCTGAACAGAGAAAGAATCCCAAATCCAGTGGGAAAAGGGGGGAGGGGCAAAAAAAATTCCGCTTTTCTTCAGAGCAACACATGCTAACACTTTACAGTCTGGCATGTGTCAGCATTTCTGAAGTAAACTCTATTTTCCTTAGATGAAAGAGATAAAAAAAAAAATACACTCAGAATTCAGCCCAGTGAAAATTGCTTCGGCCATTCACATGCAATAAGCCGTGGAAGCAAGGAGGAAAAAAAAAATCAATTGCTTCTGATTGATTTATTCATTCAGTCGTCCCTGTCCTTTCTGTCTGATGTGAAAAAGGATGTCTTCCACAATTTCATGAGTTGTTCCTCTTTTCAAAGCAAAAAAACTAACCTAAGCCTCTTACTGGTTGCCCAGCATCTTGGCACAGGAAAGGCACGTTCAATTAATTTTCCTATTACATATAGATTATGTAAAGGAAAGGGGGGCGTTGATTTTGCTCATCAGAGGCTTCGCCAGTATCTACAATCAGGAGGCCACCGTAATACTTTCAAGTCTGCTGAATTTGGGATCACCCATTATGGTAAAAGCAGTGCAAGGTTCCACCTTAAATCATTGCTTTATTTCTTAATCTGGGTGGGGGCGTTCACTTGCTCATTGTATTATTCTTCAGGCCCTCTGGCACATCTTAAATATTTCACACTAAATATTGCTAAATCCCTGAATCTTCCACAGCAGATTCTATTCTGGGCTGCTCAGAGCCGAGGGTAGAGAAGGAAAGCGGGGACCACCAAAATATAATTGCAATAAAGAGAAGAAAATGTACGAGACCAATTTTGGAAGGATGTTTAAAGTTTTAAACCTGTGCCAAATAATTGAGATCTATTCAAAGAGGACTGAATTCTATTATAAGCCCCGTATACACACAATTATTGAATTATTCCAAACACCTGGTAAAGCTGGGCGATCAATCAGCCAAATGACAATCAGCAGGCACAACTGTCAAGCACATCGTTCGCCCCACTCCTTGCAGTTGGCGGACATAATCGCTCCTCCCACTACTGAATTGTAAACCAGAGCTCATCCCTAAAGCAAGGAGACCATGTGGTGTTGTGACTCTGCGCTTGTAATCTCCCGAGTTCTGAAGAGATGCCGTAAAAGACCCCGGTCTCCCAGCCAGATGTGAGGGAGCCGACTGTCTTTCTCTACAGACTGCCGCAGCCCGAGTTCCATTATTTTTTCTCATTGCCAGGAGGAACCAGCCCTGGCCTGCCCATCCATCTCTCTGCCATGACATTAAAGCCAACTGTTCTGTCCTCCTGTGCACAGAGAGGAGAAGAAAGATGGCCCTGCTAAATTTCAGCCCTCGTTCCCAGCATCCCTAGAGCCCACATCTGCCACCAGCTCCTGTTCTGTGTGGACACGGTTTTACTGTCCAGTCTTCCCTTCCCCTCTGACTGCCCAGTCCTCACCCCCTGGCAAGCCTTCAAAGCTAGTAAGTGGCCCAAGAGAGGATGGAGAGAAGAGGGTGTAAGGAGAAGGGAGAAGGAAAATCCAACCAGCAGAGAACATCTACCAGTGTTCATCAGCCAGTGGGGGAGCAGACATTCCCTTACCCCATTATTTCTCTCTGAAAGCAGGGCTTTTGCCTGCGTGGGGAACCGTAAAAAGAAGTAACACTTCTATAAAAGCTCGAAAAAAAAAATAAGATTCTGAAATTTGACACCTTACTTGTTTCATTTCAGAATACCGTTAGACCAACTGGTTTTACTTCCTTCCCCCCACACTCACACACACCCCACGCGAGCCTCCGGGGAGAGGCTGCCGCTCCACTGATGGCTGCCTTGCGCACCGGCGTGCAGAAGCGCCTCACTTGGTAAGTCAAACATCTTCCCTCTGCTCCACCAGAGCTCACAGATGGCTGGTCCCTTTTGGTACACAGGCGTAAGCATCTTCAAAATAACCTTTTCCTTTGAAGGGTGCCAATTAATTAAACGTCACCGTCATATGTCCCAGCCACGCAGGGAAGGGAGACACCGTTAGACAAAAGGGTCAGTGGAAGAGAACAATGCGGAGAGGTCACATCCTCCTACCTTCACCCGACGACCCCGACAGATCAATGATCACATACACTCTTCCTTCTGGCTCCAGATCAATCTGCAATTAAGAAAATGATAGTGGCTCTGTTAGTGCATCGTGGAGGCAGCCGGAGAGTTCCATGACTTTTCCACCCCACCCTGCTAAAACCTAGGGTCACGGCTCCGCTCAGTCCATCAACCTGTCGTGTGCCAAGCGCGGGGTGAATCAGGAACGCTGGAGAATCGGCATTTGTGGAATGTGTACTATGTTCCGGATGCAGCACGAGGAGGTCCGATATAGACCCAGTGGGTGATGCCATCCCAGTAGTTCTCAACTGGAGGCCATCTTGCTGCACAGGGGACACTTGGCACAGGGGACACTTGACACCGGGAACCTTTTGGGGACACAAACATTATCTGGAGACGTTCTTTGATGGTCGTGTCTGGAAAGGGAGGGCTGCCAGTGGCATCTAACGGGTGGCGGCGAGGGATCGCACTAAGCACCCTACAGCGGACAGGATGGTCCCCACGACGAAGCATCATCCAACCCCAGATGCCAATAGTGTCCAAGTTGAGAAACCCTGGGTTACACCACTTTACAGATAAGGAAGCTGAGCTCGGCGTTTGAGCGCGAGTGGCGAGGCTGAGATTCAATGGCAAGACCGTCTAGAGAAACCCGTGTACTCTATACTACACAAATTGCTCACAGGGGAGGAAAGAAAAGCATAAGATGCCATTCACACTCTGAAGGTGTTTACAGTCTCATCGAGGAGTTAAAAAACGGAGAACAATGCTGAACCCAGCTTGGTGATGAGCCACAGAGGATAACCGATAAAGTATCTGGCGAGTTGGAAATCAGCGTCGGAGAGCAGTCTGGGAAGACCTCACAAAGACAAGAAAGGGGAGTCATTCAAGGTGGAAGGGACAGAGACAGCATAAGCAAAGGCTGGGAGTGCACGCGGTGCCCGTGCAACGCTGAAGGGCCCGTGTGCTCCAGCCGTGTGTTTTGCAAACCCCAGATTCTACCAGGGCTGTAAAGGGTGAGCCGATACCGCTACATTCTTACCATCAGCCTTCTCCACCCACCCTCACTTCCTCCCTGCCCCCTTCCCCCAAATCCAGCGAGCTGCTTCTATACAGGACTGGCCTGACGAGTCGAGTCTGAACGCCGGGCCTCTTCCACTTGACATCTTTGCAAGGTCTGAACTCTCCTTACAGAAACTGTGTTCTCCATGAGACAGAAGTAACTCTGGAAACCCTGGATCACCAAGTACCCCCGGTGGCCTGTCCTCGCCTCCGCAATTCCATCTGTCGGCGCAGAGCTTTAATTGGCTCGTACGTACGTGCCAGGCCCGTCTCCCCAGCAAGCTGTGACATTCCTGGGGGCAGGGACCACTACCCTTCCTTTCCTGTTTCATTGCCTCCAGCCAAGAGGAGGCACACATTCATCAAGCACCACTTAGAAAGGGTCAGTCTGGTGAACACCTTCTCATTCAAGGCTGAGGTCAATTAGCCCTTCCTCTCTGAAGCCTTTCCAGATATTCCCAGTCAGAATTGATCACCCCTTTATTTGTGCCCCGACGGGACGCATGCACATCTGATCCACAGTTCTTGTAACACACTGTCCGTATGTCCATCTCCTCGGTGAGGCAGACTGCGAGAATTCTATGTATATACCTAGCGCTTACCTCACGGTCCATTGGTCAGCAGGCACCGAATAAAGCTTCGTGGAGGGGGAAAGACTTTATGTTCAGAACTCTGAGAGCTTGTTCTGGGATCATGTGCTGCTCCAAACTCCCCCCACCCCCCCAGGAAGGTAGACAGACATGTGATCTGTACAAACACGACATTCAAATCAGGTGGCAGGGAAAGAAAAGGTAGCTCTCCCACGATTGCCACATACTGTCTGTGAGGTTAAAAAAAAAAAAAAAATTCACCTTGGACTGATATTCTCCAGGTCCCTCCCCTAGCACCTCACACCCCTCACAGTACAAGTTCCCTGAGACATCCGTGAGCCCCACTTTCTTTCCAGACTCAGCCTTTTCTTTCTAAATATTTTTCTTCATGTTTATTTTTGAGAGAGAGAGAGTGCGTACCAGCATGAGCGGGTGAGGGGCAGAGAGAGAGGGGGATAGAGGATCCAAAGCGGTTCTGTGCTGACAGCAGAGAGCCTGATACGGGGCTCAAACTCATGAATGGTGCAATCATGACCTGAGCCAAAGCTGGACACGACCAACTGGGCTGCTCAGGCGCCCCCCAGACTCAGTCTTTAATGGTTGAGTGTTCAAGGTTTCTCTCAAAACTTCAGTCCCACTGGGGCACCTGGGTGGCTCAGTCAGTTAAGCATCCGACTCTTGATTTTCGCTCAGGTCATGATCACATGGTTTGTGGGTTCGAGACCCGCTTTGGGCTCTGCACTAACAGTATGGGGCCTGCTTAAGATTCACTCTCTCTCCCTCTCTCTCTGTCGCTCTCTCTGCCCCTCCCCCACTTGTTCTGGGTCTCTCCCCCTCAGAATAAATAAGTAAATATATTTTTTAAAAATTCAGATCCACCAAGAGAGGTCTCCAGTCTCTGTCAGGGCAGGGAGTGAAGGACTGAGGAGAGTTCTCACATTGTCCCACCGGGGCCATTCACCTGAGTTTGGGATCTGGAGCTTGGGATCCAGATGAAAACCCAGTTAACAGAGTGGTGATGCCAGGGAATGACTCTCCCCATTCTTTCTGGCCCAAGAATCTGTGATTTTAGGTTTCTGTCTAAAGAAAATGTTTTCCAGCACCCTCACCACGAGGAATCCCCACCCTGCACCCCTCCACCCCACCCCACCCTTGCTGCAAGCATAACCCAGCCCCCACACTAAATTACAAACAGGAAAACCACCAGTCAGCTCCACTGAACAGAGCCAAACCAAAATCCTGTCCCCGCCACAAATATCAGGGGTCCTCTTGTCCAAAAGCATGGAATTTAAATAATGTATGCCTTTCAGAGATTAGATCATCTCTATTAAACCCTGCCGGCTAAATGAAACAATTTCTCATATCCTCCAACTCAGAGGTTTCCCACGACTGCGGACCGCATTGGCAGAGTACAATGCTATCTGTGAAAAGCAGGGAGGGAGACGGCAGAGGAATGAGATGGGCTCACTTCGAATACGAAGGCGAGTGGCCTGCCTCTCTTTGCAGAGGGCAAGTGAGATCTTGTGGCAAGGGGTGGGGGTGGGGGGGACAGGTCATCGACGATAAAATGTATTAGGATATTAACATTCAAGATAGCAATCAGAAACCACTTTAGCACCCACTGCTGCCTCGATGCCGATGAACTGCACTTCCAAACAGAAAAATAGAAATTATGCTATTAGGCATGCCAAAAGCAACAAAGAGCTTTGCAGCCTGGGCAGATGGCCACGGAGGGCTGGCTGGGCCCCAGCGGTCGAGCGAGGAGGCCCTGAGAATCCATGTAGGGAGGTAGGACTTCCATGCACATGACTGCGGGGTGATCAGGTACCTCACGTGATGGAGTGTGCAGCAACCGCATGGTCAACTTAATTTAACCACAAGTTGTGCTCACAATGACCAGGCCCGGAAAACGAAGCGACGTAGGTGCCCAGCCCTGCAAAACTCCAGCAAGCTGTCGACTGCCGTCACCACCAGGCAGCTGGCACTACATGAAAGGAGGCCTCTTCCCTCCTCCCAGCCGTTCCCAGGATTGGTTCTAAGCTCTTTCTCCTGTACGCGAGGTTCCTCCCAACGGTCCCAGATGCAACCCTGTTTATCAAATCGCCCTGAAACTCCTACCTGCACTTCATGAGTCTTAGTATGTCCATGTCTGTTCTCTTTCGACCTCTAGTGCCTTTGGCTACCCCTCCAGCTGAGGCCAGGAGCAAGGCAGCACAACAGTGGGGAAGACAAACCCAGCCTTCGGGGTCAGACCAGGGCTGAATCCCAACTCAGGCGATTATGGGCCTTCCCTGAGCCGTGGCCTCAGTCTTATCATCTGTGAAATGGGTTGTTGTAAAAATGGCACAAAACACACACGCAAAGCCCTCGGCACTCAGGAGGCACTCGGTACATGGTGGTTAGGTGTGACCGTACCGGCTCTCTGGCCTGAAGCAAGGGACTCCCTTCTCTGGGCCTCAGAACGCTTCTTCCTGAAATGGAGCTAACAACAGACCCTGTCACGTTTGTGAAACGAGACAGCCTACGTAACGCACTCAGCACGGGGCCTGGCACAAAACACTCAGTTACTGCCGGTGCCCTTGTTGTTTAAAAGCCAAGTCTTCAAGTGTGCTGCTTAGTCCAATATCCCTTCCACTCTGTCAAGCTCTGCTCCGACACAAAAGGCATTTTCTTGCCCAAAGCTGTTATTATTACATGTTATTCCAGGACATCTGACAGTTTTATGGAGTTGGGAATATTAAATAAAGCTTGTGGCCAGAGTTTCATGCCCAGCCCGTGGGGAACCGGGGGGCAAAACACGCTATAGCCCTGGTCACCGGAGGGGTCACGGGCTGCTCATGGGAGAAGAAGGGGAGGGGGACCGTGGACCTTCTGAGCGCCCCCTATGCCTCCGACACTGTATGGGTGCTCTACCTGCATTAGCTCCTTTCTTTTTTATTTTATTATTTTTTTTAACATTTATTTATGTTTGAGTGACTGAGCAAGACAGAGCATGAATGGGGAAGGGGCAGAGAGAGAGGAGGGACACAGAATCCAAAGCAGGCTCTAGGCTCTGAGCTGTCAGCACAGAGCCTGACGCAGGGCTCGGACTCACGGACTGCGAGATCATGACCTGAGCCAAAGTCAGACACCCAACCAACTGAGCCGCCCAGGTGCCCCTGCATTAGCTCCTTTAACTGCCCGTGTGGCCAGCAGTACTCCTTACTCTTCAGATGGAAAAACTGGAGCTCAGAGAGCTTTAGGCAGGATTCCCACCCAGGGCTGCCTGGGGCACACAGGAGAGAAGACTCTGCCGGAGCCTCTGTCCCCAAACCCCAGCCAGCCTGGGAGCCTTCTATGACCACCTAGTGCCAGGCCTCTCTTCCCACAGGCCTCCGGCTCTCCCTCTAAACCTGCAGCTGAC